CAAGATTTCTGGCAAACGTCTAAACTTACAACAACTACATGGATATATAAAGGCTTTGGATAAACAGAATACCAGTATCAGTTTACAAGAGTCAATCTACACGGCGGGATATTTGCTTACGCCTCAAAATAACTATAATACTACCAGCGTATTACGGGCTCTAGAGACTAAGAAACATATTCTAAAGCATTATTTATTTTTGAAATTTGGTTTAGGTCAATAAAATATCGCTCTTGTAAAGAACAAGTATTTTTAATAAGCCTACTAAGCATACATATTTTCAGTTCATTCTAAAATTTGTTCTTGTTTCCACTGCGAACAACCAAGCGGTGGAAATTATTGGTGGAAAAACATACAGTAAATAAAATGAGTGACAGCACGCATAAAATACAAACTAGCGTCATCTGAAATTTAACATTCTTAACCTGTTAAAAATTTTAAAGAGAAGAATTACTGAAAATAAACGCGAAAAGTCTAAAATTAAAAGAAAAAGATAAAAGACTAACAAATGTTAAAATGCTGATACAGTCTACAATTCCAAAAAGTCTTTGGATAAGCCTGACTTCTCTTCCCTTCCTGTTTTTCACAGATTTCACATCTTTTTCGCTATTTTCAACTAAATACCGTTCAATATATTCTTTTAATTGCATCCTTTTTTTTTAATATCTTCTAACTAACTACTTGACAGTTCTAATGGCAAAATTCTTTGTACCGGGCGTAAAAAGTTATACATCTGTGGTTTTCAATTATAACAGTCTAATGACGTTATCTTTCCCAATGTAATAATAAATGATGTGCCAAATGGGATGAAGTGTGTGGTTTAAAAGAAAATATCGAATTAAGAGTAACTTACCCCCAAAGGATGACATTTCAAATAATGTGAATTACGAGAAATTTATTATATCTTGACATCGTGAAATTTTAAATGAATACTAGTATAAATCAAGAAAACATATCCAGACAGAAGACAATAGATGGCAAACTACTGCAGCAGTAAGAATCAGTCCTACCATTTTGAGTCCTAACCTTTCGTGCAGAAAATGCGTACAATTCCAATCTAGTAAATCTCAGTTCATCTTCGCTACACAAAGTTACATGATAACAAAAATTCAGTTTTTATAGCGAAGGACTTTGACCTGAATTATTATTCCAATATATTTTTGTGGAAACACAAGGCCAATTCTAGCATCAAGACGCAACACGTGCACGGGAATTCCTTTCGAGAACGTCTCAAGTCGTAAAACATCATTCATTTACCGCAGATATAAGCATCTAGATCAATTTTAGTTGAATCTTCATATCACTTACTATTATTTTTTGACAAAATGCATTCTCTTGAAACTATATGGAGATGGTCGTCAGAAAGGCACGAAAAATAACAAAATTGCAGACACGCATCATCGGCGGTGAGGACGGACAGAAGCACAGCATACACCTTCGAAGTCTAGCAGCACAAGAGACAGAAAACCGGTTGTCAGACAGACAGACAAAGTAGACAGATGTCTTTTGTTGCACCCGCTAAGTCTTTCTGCACCGATGGGCGAAAAATCAAGCATAGGTGCGAAGGAAAGGTATATAGAAAGGGGGGCAATTTCGTATTTCAGAGGAGAGTAAAAAGGAACTTCGTATATTTTATACGAGTTCGAAAGGCCAGGAAGAAAAGATGGGACAAAATAAAGTAAAAAATAAATGGCCCAAAAGTAATGGAGAGGGAAAAAAAATTTTTATTTATAATTTAAAAAAAAAAAAGGGCCTATAGAAATATAGAAAGAAAAGGAAAGGAAACAAGAGAATTTTGTTTTAAAAAAAAAAAAAAAAAAAAAAAAAAAAAAAAAAAAAAAACCACGATTGTGTTTATGTGTGTAGTCAAAGTTGTTATCATTTACATTAAATAGGGTCTTCCAGGTGTGTGTAATGAGTATGTTTTGTAAAGCTGAATAGATGTAAAGATGGGGGAAAAATTAATAATTAAATAATAAATATTGGGGTCCAGTCACATAACAGTATAAGTCAAGTTTAGAAGCTAACTTTTGCTATAACAGGGAAACTAAAATTTAAAAATTTTTAAATTTAAACTTTTATTTTTTTCCATGGAAACCAATATTAGCCTCTACCTTGAGACACAGTAACTGAAGACATATAAGATCAAGATACATATAATATCATACAAAGTTATACATTAAAATTAAGTAACATCATCTATTGCGGTTTCCAACATATTTATATACTCAGAAAACACCATCAGATAAAATCATAAATCCAAAACAAGGCGAGAACATATCAGCAAAAATAAATAAGTAAATAAATAACGGAGTTTTTTTTTATTTTAATATTAATTAATTTTTTTAAAAAAATAGGCATTTTATTTATTTATTAAGTTAATGGTCATAATTTATTGTATGTGTACTATTTAATCAATTTGAGGCACACTGTATTAATATATGCTTTTAATTTAAATAGATAGGAAATATAGGTTAGAGACTACAACTCTATACAAAAACTACAACTCTATACATTCATTGAGGCCCGAGATCGTGTTTTTCTCTCTCGAGAAATTCATCAAAGGCGCCCCAATGGTTAGTGCTAACACTACTGATAAGGGATAGCGTCCCTACGAGATGGTAACCAAAAAAGAACCACATGATTTAAAGCAATTACTAAGTATTTAATGCCAGAACATAATAAATGAGCATAATAATAATAATGATCATAATAAATAAATGAATTTAAAGGTACTTTAGTGACAGATATTTGATTTAGCTTAGAGAAAAGAAGTTCTACTTATCTGAACGCTCCGTCTTAGTGCTGCAAAAGATTGCAAGGAAGACAAGACCCCCAGGTACAGGAGAACTCCCGGCCTTGAGAACGAGACAGTGCAGAGGATATTCGCGAAACTTTTCTTAAATAAATGAAGATTTTCTGGAAAACACCTTTGAAAATTCAGGAGCTCTTCCAAGATCCTGCCTCCATCGTACGTGATCACAGCGCCCTCCTCTGTTGGTCAGAAAACCGGTTGTAGTGGTCAATCTCGCTCTGTCATTGAGCGGTCGCAGTGAACAGACTTGATGTTGAATAAATGTGGAGACTTGCCTGCACACCCAAGTAGTAATTTTAGCAGCAATGGTTAATCGGCATTATTTTCACTCCCAAATAAGAACTGCATCTCCGGGTTTAATATTTTGCTAATGTTTTCTGATCACACCTTTGAATCAAAATGCTTAAACATTCATATCTAAATTTTTTATTATATCAGCAATTGGTTGTTAACAGTATTTTAATCTGTGATTGAGGAAATGTTCACCAACAAGATCTAAATCAGGAATGCCAGTTTCTCGAAAATCTTCTAAAGATTAGTAGGGAAACAAAGGTACACGTTCAGAATCTTGTTCTGAAACATAGGTAAGTGGACGTGGGTTTATCACAGATTCCGCGTCACGGAATACATTTGTCATTTCTTTAAAAGACAGTAGAGAGTTTACTAAAACTCTTTTAAGAATTTATTGCATAACGCCAATTAAATGCTCCCAGAAACCGCGTCACAAAGCATGAATGGAAATGTCCCACAATCTTACAATTATTGTATTGGTTAAGACCCCAACGTTGATGTCTGATATTACTTGATAATGAATTTCAGATTACATGTAGTTTGTATTTTATACGTTCTTTCATTTATTTGAATGCTCCCCCTTGCGGATGTTAAAATAACAAAGCTAAAATTAAAAAAAGTATTGTGTAGTCAGAGACTATACATATTTGGCTTACTCAAGCTTCCTCAACTTTCAAGCCTCGTTTTAACGTCGTTTAGCAAACTGACTGAAGCTGGAATATTAACAGGCAGAGCTAAGCGGAAGAAAATAAGCTAGCTGCAAGTGCTGTTTCAAAACGTTGTAATCAACACATGTCGCTGATCGCGGTTAACGTTATCATTTGAATATTTTTATTTGTGTACGAAAACTCGGAAAAATGCGTCGCTTAGTTTGATCAACAAATTCGGTTAATATTATCAAAGTATTATCGAATGCTTTTTCAGACTGTAATAAAGTCGCCAAATAAGGTCAAAATAGATTTTCAGAGTTGCGAAGTATCAGCAAAACTGTACTCATGTAAGAAATTACGACACTAACATTTTACGATTTTAGTCAACCATTTAAAAGTAAAAGAAAATGCAACTTTATTTTAGATTAGATTTTGATGATCGCTTTTGAGGATGATCAGAAATAGTTCATTCTCCTTCGGGAGCAAAAAAATTCTGCAGAATTTGTTTCCCTCTGTTCCTTAAAAAAATCTCCTGGAAATATCTATACGAAACTTAGGTTGCTTGTTTGATTAATTTTAAATTTTGCATTTGCATGTTTTCTTCCAGTGAAAGAAGGGTGCTCTCCGAATTTTAAGATTAGTTGTATAGAATCGGTCAAATAATTTCCCGAAATTCTATGAAGAATTCATAAAGAAATTGCTGCGTTAAAAACATTATGAACAAACAGTTCATAAGCAAATTTTTGCATTTTGTTAACTAAAATTCTGTTAAAGTGCTTATTTAAATATTTCTTGTTGTATTTATATTAAATTAGTTAAATTCTATTACTGTTTTGAAGGATATTTTTTCTCATCGCTTAATGCTATGTTTCGGTTAATATTATCAAAATAGCAATGGAAAAACATGATAACATAAGAGCCCTACTGCATCTCAAACATTCAAAACCCTCGACTTAAATACGGGTTAAAAAAATAATTTGTATTGTGACAAGGGCTAAAGGGAAGAAGAAATTATAATACAGATTCAAATCATAAAAACTGGTTAATTAACATAAAATGCTTTACAAATTGGGTTGCATTATTAACATACACATGAGGGAGGATACAATTTATATCAATATTAAGATTATTAAGATTAAGCTATCTGTTAAAATAAATTTAATCTGATATTTTTCGAGTATATTTCAAATACACTTTACATGAAAAAATGTATTTTAAATAGAAATGATGTGACTGGTACTTACCGCCGCTGGACATGGGTAAGGCGGTTGTTGGATGAAAACTACAGCTGGGTAGGAAAGTGGGCAATTTACCTTAAAACGAAGTAGAAATTATTCTCGTAAAAATGAAAAGAATTAAAGAATTAAACGTTAATAAAAATCTACAAGCAGTAGTTAAGAAATTAGAATAAAATTAATATTCTTTTGAGCTAGACAAGTGATATCATTTTCGTTTCTCACATTGAAACGAATTATTCGTACTACTGACGAGAAATACACGTATTTTGTTATTCTTTATTAAACCAGAATTTTTGTAATTACAAAGGGATTCTTTTAGTGTGGCGACATACTTAGAGGAGGAAAAGCAGGTTAGAGGAACAATAATTACCATGGAATATGTAATCACAAATCACGTTTAGTTTGTGAAAATCGCAAAATTATCTGAGCAGTGTTAAGTCGCGTGGGAAACCAAACAAAAATACCTGGTTTTAACGAAATTTCACGTCACCACAAATATCGTCTGCGCAAACAGTTTGTGTTGGCGTGTTTAATAATATTTTGTCAAACGATTTTTGGCATTTGAAGGAAAGAGATTTGTTTTAAGCACTGTGTTGTGAAATTTGTAATAAAAATATCGTTATCATTGAGTACAAGGTCTCTGAAATGAAACTGTCACACTACCAGTTTGGAACCTTCATTTACTTCCAGTTCTGCTGCAAAAAGTCAGCTACAGAATGTCACCAAATCATGCGTACAGATTTAGTTTCTAATGTTTTATATGACACTGTGAAGCTTTGGTATCGAAAGTTCAAATACAAGAACTATGACTTTCAAGATGGAGAGCACTCTGGCCGGCCTACTGATGTTGATGAGGCCCGCCTGTGAGAACTCCGTGGAAGAAGATCAGTATGCAACCACTAGAGAGCTTGATAAGAAGTTAGACATTAGTGCCACTTTGATTAGTGACGCTATGCATCGTATAAACTTGACGCACACGTTCAATGGCTGGCTGACTCAAGGAGATGAGGTCAACGTTTTCGAGCCTGCACTAATCTGCTCGAATATCAATGCGAAGACAAAATTCAGGATATGTCACTTGTGATGAAAAGTGGATTTACTTAAACGACGCAGGCCGAAAAGGCGGTTGGTCTGCGCCCGGCGATCCCGTCGGTAGCGACACAAAGCGCAATTTGACTAACAAAAAGATAATTCTTTGTATGTGGTGAGATTGCCATGATATTATCCAAAAAGAGTACCTGGAAAAAGGTAAAAAAGTGTACAGCGAGATGCTAATCTGAGTTGACGCTGCTATCAAGGAAAAACGTCGAACTGAGTTCCGACGCAAAAAGGTAATATTCCATCCAGATAATGCAAGACCACATGTGTCTGCATTCGCCGGCTGGACTCTGACACACTCGAATGAGATCTTTTGCCACATCCACCATATAGCCCCGAAATCGTTTATTCGAACTTCTACCTTTTTCCACACTAGCAGCTACCTTTTGCTGGTGTTATCTCTCATTTTGCACAGGACGTCCGAAATGAGGCTGATCTGTTTTTGGACCCGCGGCCGCCAAGTTTCTGAGCCGAAGGCACTTGAAAAACTACCAAAACGTTGGCAGAAAATCATAGATTTGGGTGATGATTACTACCTGCACTAAAGGTACTACTTTCATGCTTTTTTCTAACTTTATTAAGAAGGTTTTGGGCAGAAAACTTTCGTTACGATAAGAAATGTAACAGAAAGTAAAATAGCATTTTGCTTTATTCTGTAGTTCACAACACAGCACGGTACAATGAAAAATTATTATAAGTGTTCTTTGAAATGTCGGCCGTGGGCATCATCGCCTAACCCACATCAATGGATAAATGATTGTCAGAAACGCTTGAACATGCTGTCGGATGCCCTTGAACTGCTGTTAGTGTCTGCTGTCTACAACATCATTAACCTGCTAATGTCATCAGGACTGGATATTGTGGCCACGAACTAATCTCAACACCGATCGCATTTCCCAGGATACACCACAGACAATAACCGAATTACACCAGCAAGAAGAAGCAAACTCCGTACTTATTTTGAAAGAAGATACCTCGGATGACGAATTCTGAATGTCTCCTGTCCCCTGCAATACCTTACAACCTGCATTGTATCTGCAGTACCTTTGAAATCCAATAACATTGCATAAAATTATTTAGCTTGGCACCAACACGCAACATAGCATGCATGATATTGTACTCTTGTGCTGTATATAGTTGTATAGTGTTATATTTTATTTTATTCTGTTCATATAACTGTGCGCAAACTAAATTCTAACATCTAATACTCTACAAGCATTGTGTATCTGACTTTGCACTATGTATTTGTCCTCTGGGCAATGTGTATATAAAACGTATTGTGTACTTACTTTAATTCAATAAGCAGTGTGCATCTAATATAATATCTAATAAGTGCAGCGCATTCTATAACATAGTGTCTCCAGTTATTGCCTGCATATCATATCTGTATTATACAAACTATCTGTATTATATCTGCACTGTATCTAGCATATATATAATGTTTAATTCATCTATATCTATCAATATTGTATCTGCATTACATGAATAATCTCATTGCTTCGCATAGAAATACATAGCTTGGCCACATCACACAACATAGCATGCATGGTGCTGCGTACTATAATTGTGTTGTATATAACAGAATAGTGTTTTAATTTGTTAGTATAATTGTATTTATATAATTGTGCACCATAATTGTATTGTATCTAGTGTTTTGTGTTGTATCTAGTGTTGTTATAGTATTTGATTCTGTGTTTTAATTTGTTAGCATAATTTTGTTTGCATTAAAGTTGTATATAGTAGTATAGTGTTTTATTTTGTTTGTACAGTTGTGCGCAATATAATTTCTAATATCTAATACCTTACAAGCATAGTGTATACGTTTTTACATTGTATATCAGTTTTGTATTGTATATCAGTTCTGTAAGCATTGTGTATATAAAAAGCGCTGCATATCTATTCAAATTATATAAGCATTGTGTATCTGATATAATACTTAAGAATCATAATGTATTCTACAGTGTAAAGTTTCATCTGTAATTACTACTTGTACTGTATACAATATCAGCATAATACAACCTACTTGTTTTATATATGCATTGCATCTGCTCTACACAAAGCGCAGAATTAATCTGCATCTATTGCATCTACTTAACCTGTATAATATAATAACCTTGCATAGAAATACTTGGCTTGGCAACATTACACAACACGGCATGCATGGTGTTATATACTTTCATTGGCTTGCATATTGTTGTATAGTGATTTATTCGGTTTGTATAATAATGTGCACCATGATATCTAATGTCTAATATACAACAAGCATTGTGTAACTGATTCTGCACTGTGTATATATTCTGTAAGAGCACTGTGCATATAAAAAGCATTGTGTATATATTCTAATTCTATAAACATTGTATACCTAATACAATATCTAATAAGCATTGTATACAGTGCAGCAAAGAGTCTCATCTGAAATTATTGATCGCAATGCATACGTTAATGGCATCATATAACCTGTCTGTATATGTAGTGTCTGTATAGTGTATATGTAGTCTGTATTTATCTGCATTGTAACCGCATTACCTGTTTAATAATCTAATAGCTCTACATAGAATTATTGGGCTTGGCAACATCACGCAACACAGCCTGCCTAGTGCTGCGTGTAAAAACTGTGTTTTATTTTGTTATATAGTGTTTTATTCTGTCTGTGTAATTGTGTATAATCTAATATCTAATAACTCTACATGCATAGTGTATCTAATCTCGCATTATGTATTTATTCGTATTGTGTACCTATTTGATTTCGCATTCGTAAATATCTATAAGCATAGTGTATCTAATATAAGCACCGCGTAACTATTCAAAGTATATAAGCATTGTGTATATTGCTTGTACAAGTGCAAGCAATCTACTAATATTCTACAGTGTGTCTGCATGTTTTATGTATGTTTTATATGCGCATTTTACATGTGATCTATATGTGTCTTTAAATGTGTAAGTGTATAATATATATTAGCTCAATTATGTTTCATTATAAGTATATGTTTTACTTGTATAAGTGTGTGCAAACTAATATATAATTTCTGTTACTCTATAATGTTTTATATGTGTTATATATGTGCTCTAATTTCTTTAAATTAAGACATGTTAAAACACGAATATTCCTTCATTTAAAAAATTTTTATAAGTATATATCTATAACCAGCGATTGCCGAAATAAAGACTGGGTAAAAGAACTTTTGAGGCACTGTACGCATATATATGAGTAGGTGCTGTTTTCTGTAAAATATAAAATGTGACGGAAAATTATTAACAAATTACTAACTTAATTAGCAACAGCCCTTTTAATTCCTCATTTCAATTGAAATTAGGCAAGGTCTTCAAGGCATTTGCACTGACGTCATTCTTTCCCTGCAATATTCCGCATTGCTGTAATTTTCTTGCTCAGTCGCTGTTTAAGATTAAAACAAAGGAGCAGGCTTTGCTGCATAATACACATCAATTTTCCTCTGCTGTCACCTAGCTAGCATTCTGTTCACCCCTCTGCAGTTTTCTTCCATTGTTCTAAAATGTAATTGCGTTTTGTATAAAATCGTGGGGTGAAGAGTACATTCGTTGCGCTAAGTGATATCTACAAAATGTTCTTCCAAAGAATTGTTTACGTTCAGGAATATAAAGTGTTTAATCGTCAGGCTAGTTGTGTTCTGTCAAGATTCCAGTCTACTACACAATCAGTATCTTAGCTATCTTCTAATTTCATTTTCTCCTTAGCCATGACTGAAAAATAAATACTTGTTGTCTTCTCTACTAAGTTCTCTCATCATACCATCTCCAAATTATATAAATATATAGTGTTTTGTTTTTTAACTAACGTTACTCAAAGCTATTAATCGGAGTATCAGCTGAAATGACACCAAATTTGGTAATGGGTCTAGTGAAAAGATTTTATGATAAAGAAATTCGTTCCGAAAATCGCTGATTGGAAAAATGTAGCGCTCCCAAAGGGTTACAGAAATGCAATTTATTCAATAAAAGATCTTCCTCGGCAAAGACATTAGAGCTCTTTCAGTGAGACCACCATTCTCTCGACCACATATTGCATCCTGTACACAACATTCTCGACGGCCGAAAGTAATATGTCACCAGGAATGCTCAGCACGAAAAGTTCCATGTCACCAGGAGTGCTAAACCGGAAGTAACATGTCAGACCAGGAATGCTTGTGATATCCTGTCCTTTAAGGTCGTCAAGGTTGAAACCCCATAAAGATATACCTCGAACATCAAATAATCCAAAAGGAGAAATTCACATAGTGTTAGAATCGGAGAGCGAGGCAGTCCTGCAAATAGAAATTCAGAGGCTCGTGAGCCTTTCTTATTTAAAGTGATGGTGCAATACCCGCTGCATCGATAGACCAATGTGTGGTTGAGATCCATTCTGCATAAAAGTTACCTGATCCAGCAAATGCCCATACTGACATTGTAGAATCACAGAAATAATCAGCGTATCATAATACGTTTGCGTGGTAATGGTACAGACCTGTGGTCCTGTTCGAGTAATGTTCTCAAAAAAGAATGGCCCAATAATGAATCCAGCCTAGCAAGAAATGTCAGAGTAAATGCCACCCATTTATTATAATTCCTGCACGCGGCTTATCTTATATGGGTAGACGTGGAGAAATTCCCGCAAGGTTTTCCATACTGTCGAGAGGTTTAAATACAATTGTCGCACTGCTTTCCGGGCACTGATACTTCCAGGGGGAGGGTAACATTCAAATCTTAACTCGCCTTTGTTAATTTTACAACTTTACGAACATTTAACTAAATATTTACTTTTTAAGAGTTTTGCTTTAAAAACTGTTTTGCGCAGTTCATACTTTCAGCAGCCATTATTATATTGCATAGAAACTTTGTTGAGTGATGCATTTCATATCAATATATTTTTGTTATCTTTATTATGAGTGCTGGAACTGCTCATATACAATACTGAAAGAGCTATACAGTGTATGATAAACGCTTTATATAAAAACATAATGCAAAACATAATGCAATTTTATATAAATAAATAAATACTTTATAAATAAATGCTACTAATAAAACTTATATATATAAACTTATATAAATGTCTCATGAAGAAAACTTTTGGCTAACTAACGGAAGTATATAGTTTTTTTTAATCTCTCTATTTTTTATCGTTATTTTATAAATATCCTTAAAAATACTTACCAAAGAGTTTCCGCAAGTTGGGTAATGATCCACCGCATTGTGAAACATTCCACTATCAAAACTTGCACGAGGAGTATTATTCGGTAAAAGAGGAATTTCATTAATGAATGTCGCTTGATATTCTGTATGAAAAAGAATGTAACCGCATTTAAGAGTATTGCTGCAAATAAAATAATTTTCTTGGACCATGATTAAAATAAAATAATAACTTTATGTACACTGTGAAGGATGTTTAATTTGAAACTTGTACATTTAAGAGTCTATGATTTTATGCAGATTTTGCTTCTAAATCACAGAATGACACAGTCTAATGACATTATACACGGTGCTGTAACGGCCAGCGACATTGCATACTAACTGCATCCTTTCATACTCAACATTCTAGTCTCAACTTCAACAGGAAGAGGAAAATTTATACGACAGTCATCAAGCTCCTCCCATGTTTTGTTTCAGTAACTAAGGCATCAGCAACAGATCCTCAAATTCACAAACACCAAAACAGTCAGAATAAAATTTGGCTAAGAATTTGCAATACTCACTCTTTAGCCAGAAACAAGGTAGTTACAGAAGTCTATCCCTGCCTACATTTCCAAGTTTTTTTATTGAGCCATTGGACTGGGTACAGTAAAATTTCTCTTGATGTTCTTATTTGACCAAATCCTTCTAGAGGACAAACTGATTGAGCTTTTCACCACTCATTCACTCTCTATTATTTAGGGACCACAATTTTCATAATTTCTGCTATGAAACTGTGGACAAACCGCAGTTTCGCTCCACGAGCTTATGTTACACGGTCTTGCAGTTCTGAACATGAGTTATTGCTGCGTTGCAATATTATTTTATTTTTTTATTTATTGTCCGGTTCTTAAATGAATATATGTTGCACATATTGCATAATAGAGCTGTACCATTTTTCTATTCTTATTTATTTTTAGTATTTTTTTATTTCCGATCTAGAGCATCCTGCTATTTTTTCTTCCATATTTTGTATTTTAATTTTTTATTTTATACTTGCACCTGTATATTTCTACTTATTTCCACTGACTGTGACATGCTTCATTTTCTGCCATTATTTTGATTTTCTCCTGTCAAATTTTGAGTGCGGATATTTTCCTCTCTTTGGATTGGTTAACTTGCCTTTATGAGACTCTTATGGTCTTTAAATGTCAATTTGCGATCACGATGTATTTAGAAGGATGGGGCAGATTTCGAAAAAACTACCCCACCCTCCTAAATGAAGCCTCTTCAATTTGCGCAGAACCCGGGCAACGCCAGATACTTCAGCTGGTTGTAGGAAAAAATGTCACCCGGAAAAAAAGGAACGGAAAGATGGGCACCGGAAAATAAGGAAAAGGAAAATAAGTCACCCTTCGTCTGCAATGGGAAATGTAAGGCACGTTTAGAAAGATCGCCAAGCTGGGAGATAAAAGTTTTATCACAACAACCGTAGCTTCGGATAAACGGAAACTTCTGAGGATGATTGTAAGAAGATGTGCTAGCTTCTGCTTCTCCCTTATGGTAAAAATAGAGTGGTGTCCAGCGGGCGAAGGCGGGTTGTCCAGCGGGTGTCATTGTCAAGACATTAGTAACTACTTCTCTCGCACCCCCCAACCTTAAGCTGCGGTTTAGTGAAGCATTGATTGTCGCATAATTGAAAACGAATTCATCTGAGCTTTGGTATAAAGCAGTATTATAACAAACAATTGTAGATGCAATTTAAAGTCACGGTTTGCGATAAGAATAGTACTAAATATTTTTAGCTAATTAATTGTCGCATATTTTTTTCATTTGATTTTAATTAAAAGTAACGTATTTGCACAGGAAACAATTGTTTAATTTTCCATTTAAGGCTGCAAGGAAAACAAAAAAATCATAGTTATTAAAAATTAAGAGGTTTATTTCAAAATTATATTAAAATTTTAAAATCTAATTAAAATAGATCCTAAAACCATGTGATCTGGATTTAAACATTTAATATACAATGAATCCTCTTGTGGCGACCTCTTCCAAAAGAATTTTCCAGAGCAGAAATAGACGCTTGTACTGAGCATTATCTCTCTAAAACGACCACCTCCACCGAAGACCAAAATAATTGGAAATGTGGATGATCGTCTAACAGAGGATTTAATATACTTTTACAATGCACCAGTGCGTGATCCACCTAGAACCGGGCCATCTAGTAGCCCATAAATGATTGGCGACCACCTCCCTAAGATGAACACTTCCAAAAGTAACCGGTTTTTCTAAAGGTATAAATAAACACTTGCACTGAATATCATCTTTCTAAGGTGATTATCTCCGCAGAATACCAAAAATCAACCAGAAACATGAATGGATATCGTAGAAAGATTTTTACTCATAGTAGTTATGTTCATTACAATTACGTGTAAAGCTGAAGGAAACTTATAAGCGGCCGAACGGTTAAGTTGTTGAATACTGGTAGTTAGACCTAGGTTCGATTCCTAGCAAAGCAGCTTTTCGTGGTTTTTCTCACGTTATAAGGTATTTCTCCTACCTACCTAGCGTGCGTTTGTGGTGTAGTGGCTCTGAACACTGGGATGGTATTCCAGAGGTCCGTGGTTAGATTCCCGGCGAAGGCGGTTGCTAATTTTCCATCTCTCCGGCTTTCTCAAAATACCTAATGTCTCTACAGCGTATAACGTGGTTACTAGCGAGTTTTCCTTAGAAAGCCCTCCACGGAGAAAACTCTTCTCTTAGGCAGATATCTTTCGTACGCTTTGTTATAATTCAAACCAAATTAAAGAAACTTATTCAATTTACTCTCTAAATTGCGCCCCAAATGAATCATATGTGGAAGCTTTTTCCATTCAGAACCTAAAACGTATCAGAAAGGAAAATTAAATAAATTTAATTATTTAACTTGGTTATGCAGAATCCCAATTTTTAATTTATCTCTTGTTTCCGAAAATCTGAGCATGAATAATCATGCAATAAAACATAGATCGATAACTTTGAAATTCAGAGAATAACTTTTATGACCTTCGACTACTAGCAACCGAGAGGCAAAAATCGTTGACTATTGGTAGTTCGACTGGCGTTCAAACCATGGCGGATGGGCTGCTTACAAGGAAATTTTCGTGGTTTTCTCCAGTGTAACATAAATACGAGTCAGTTTCTATCAGACGTATGAAATAATTTTTGTATCAGCTCCACACTATAAAAAGTCTTCCATGAAGGCATCCATACCCTCTCTGCAGATAATCTTAGGGTACTTTGACATAATCTAAATGGTCTGATTTTGATGATCATGCTAATCTACTTTCATACTGAAGCTTGTGATGCTTTAATTAATTTTGTATTTATCTTAAACCGTGTTAACTACTTTAAATTAACCATTTCAGCAACTTTTCTGTTAGATTTCCTTTTTTAAATTTTTGACATGATTTTAGAAGCCTAAATATGTCTGATCGTTTTAGTAAGACATATTTTTTGTAACTGTTTTACATATGAGTACATAGAATCTCATGACGACGAACTCTAAAAGTGTTTCCTACAACATAAATAAAACAAGCTTTTGTACATTTGCCTCTCTAAAGCAACCATCTATATAAGTGGCTCAAATCGCATGAAAACTTTAGAGGTCGCATTAGAAAAGTCTCATTATATTTGCTTTTTTGTGACATTTAATAATTTCAGTTTATTTAACATGTCTGCCTTATAAATTATAATATTGATTTTTCAAGGTCGTATAACAACTTTCAATATAAATTTAGAATAGTAATAATGTTTTACATTCCATTCGGATATTATATTCATTTGAAAGCTTTGAATAAATTGTTTATCATTATTTCTTACGTATATTATTGCAAAAATTCAAAATCCTTAATTATGATAATTTTCAATATTCAGGCTGTAAATGCCAAAATATTAAACGGCAGATTTAAAATTTGTGCATTTACAGTGAGAAAATCATAATTATGGAGCGTTTTAACGTCTGAAGCTGGTTAAAACTGGTTGAAACGCGTTGCAGTCTCAGTTTCGTATGCAAAACCATTCTCACACTGATTTCTTATACGCTTAATTTATACCAGTTTCCCTAGGTAACAAAATTTTAGATTTATATCATTATTTAAAATTTTTGAAAATAAATACCTATAGATTTTTTACAGTCACGCCCCAATTTTAGAGATTTTGCATTAATTATTAGAAGCTTTTGATATAATTAATCATGCATGTCGCACATGGATTCGCTAATTTAGAATTTTCAGAGTTGTTATAAGCACTACTGTAGACGATTCGCTTTTCCTAACAAATTGCAAATTTTAAGTTTCAATAAATCCAGCTCTGTCAACCCAATTTTAAGATTCAATAAAGGCACATAAGTTATTTAATATTTAAGAACTCTCGGCGATTTAGAACTCCCGGACATTTGTACTCAAGAAATGATTTCAAAAATGTTCTGCTACATCTATTAAAATTACTTCTATCCCTTGACCAACTAACATATGCTGCCCATTTTCTTCCCTGGTTACTTGGATCATGATAAAACACACTTGGGCTATCTGTGTAAGAGAAGGGATGTCTTCGTGGACGACTTTTAAGAGAAACTGGCTCTCAAATACTTTATAAATGAAGAAAATCACGAAATTTCTGTTGGAACTAACTTGTTCGCTGGGATTTGAACCCCGGTCGAACGATAACAGTGTTAAGCGATCTTACCGCTGTAGCACTGAAGTATGTATTATGTATAGCACTGCAGTATGTAATGGACTGCAGTATGTATTATGCTTTATGAATTTAGAGCATAAATGACTCTTATATCATCAAAGCCTGGTACCGTTTCTCATAAAAATAAAATTACTAGAAATATTAGTGAAAAGACATGTAAGTATTTTGGTTGAGTTTGTAACATATAAGGATATAGTTTACGTAATAGTGCAGTAAATTTTTTTTATTTTTTAACACGTTAGGATCCTAAAAAAAGTTAGCAGAAGTTAATGATAAGAACGCCATTTAAATAAAAAAACAAAAAAACACTGTTCTAAGCCAATGTTGTAATTCGACATTCGACAAAATGTGTTTCCCTGATATACCAATCTCTGCAGAAGGGTGAAAATTGTAACCAATTTTTCTCAATTTTTTGCCACATAAATTTTCCATA